CACACACATACACACACACACACACACACACACACACACACACACACACAAAACAGAACAGAACAGTACAACCCATCCAACATTGCATTTGGTACAACCATACAACCATTTGGTACAAAAGTACCAAAAAAAACATTTGTTACATGAAATATAATATTTTAAAAAAATTATATTTGGAGAAAAAATTCTTAAAAAATGATATAAATTTTAGATTATTGCCAAGGCAACATTTAGAAGATGATGTCCGACTTTAATTCCGGCACACACATACACACACACACACACACACACACACACACACACACACACAAAACAGAACAGAACAGTACAACCCATCCAACATTGCATTTGGTACAACCATACAACCATTTGGTACAAAAGTACCAAAAAAAACATTTGTTACATGAAATATAATATTTTTAAAAAATTATATTTGGAGAAAAAATTCTTAAAAAATGATATAAATTTTAGATTATTGCCAAGGCAACATTTCTCATTTTAATTTAGTTTGACTTAATGTACTAAAATAAATATTATAATAATAAATATAAATAAAGCTAAAACTGAAAGAAAAATTTAGAAAAAGTATATATGCATATGACAAAAACAAAATTATTAAAAAAAACAAAAAACTAATAGCACTGTTGGGTTGATTACACTTAAAAAAAGTAATTAATTTCTAGCTGCTGATTACATCTTCAACAGTGTAATTAGATTACTGTACAAAATACTCTCTCTGAAAAGTATTGCATTACTTGTTACTTTTTAAATCCCATATCAACCTTGACCAGTTGAGCAATACAAAGACACATATGAAACTGCTCTTTTAATTCTTTAAAAGAAATAAAACAAAATTGCATAAATTATTCTTCAACTGACCAAAGTACAGTATTTAAATGGAGGTTACACTAAAAACATTTTCTTTAACATTAGATGTTCCAATATTGTTTTATTCCGAATTGTTCTAAACAGTATTTAATTTAATTTCATAAGCCCCCGGTTTCACAGACATGCCTTAAGCCTAGTCCCAGACTAAAATGTAAATCTGAGCTGTTTCATCGGAAATAAACTTGCACTGACTGATCTTAAAATATATCAGTGCCTCTGTTTTGTCTCAAGATGCACACCAGTAATGTTTATTTTTAAGGCACGTTTATAAAAATTACTTAAATATCTTAATTGAACTATGGCCTAATCCTGGTTTAGGCTAAGCCCTGTCTATGAAACCGGGCCCAGAATTATTAGAGTATCCCTAACTTTTTCAATGGAAAAGTAATTAAATTCCAGTAATTAATTGCTTAGTAATGCATTACACCCAACACTGTATAATAGCATCTGAATTAATACTAAAATAGCACTGCTTGTATAAGAGTATGAGCCGTGTCTTTATTGTACATAGTGAGCAGTGAGCAGGATCGGCGGCACGACCAGAGATGTTGCTTTATGTCTTTGGAAAACTGCAAGCTGATGATTTGCTTTCGCCGCTGGTGGGTCAGATCACTGCTGTTACAAATCAAGCACAGCTTACTGTCTGTGTTTATTTCCTCAGTCAGGTGTCATCAGCTGGTGTGTTGGCCTCTCTTTGTGTGGAGGACGTGAAGATTGTTTGTTAGGATGAGAATGACAGGACTGCATACATAAATCATGATTGATGCTGTCTGCACTGAAAAAAATCTGATCTTTCCACATCATTTTTGCCTGTATGTCAGAAATAGCATGGGGCTATTCACTGTGCTGCTTTTCCATTGGTTTTCTGCAGTATGTAAACATGCTCTAGACAGATGTAACTGACCGTTGCTTGCTCTCATCTCACATCTTTTGCAGCTTCTGAAAATTCACAGATCAAGTAGGGTTGTGACGGTGAGGAAATTTTCCCACCGGTTAATCGACGTGTGACAACACCGGTAATACCGGTATCACCGTGGGGGCGGGGGCGTTCCCTCTTTTCCTCGCTTTCCTTCGCTTTTAAATAGCTTGTAAAAGCGGCGTGCGCATTTTACTTTCACTTTGAAATAGCGGCAATTCGGAGTAAATTACATTTACATTTAGACATTTAGCAGATAACCAAATAAATAAGAAAGTAGAACGCTTATTAGCAAAACGAGTAAGAAAGCTTGGAGGCACGGCATACACCTTGATGTCAAATAAAATAAATAAATGACACAAAGTTTAAAT